ACTGATGGGGTTTAGTGCAATGGAAAAGGAACGGGCGGATTCATGCATGATAAAAACCTTTATTGTTTTAATAATTAAGGACATTAATGACTGGGTTGGACCACCAAATGACAATGGAGTGACCAAAGAAGTGACCATTAATGCAGACACCACGTGTGGAAATGGCTGGATCTGTGAACACCGATGGCGTCAAATAAGGTGGGAGTATTACCCCCAAAATATCATCTAACATGGCACTTCTCTTTGAATTTTATTTTAAATTGTTACAGTTTAAGGTTACTGGCCTTTGACATGATATTGTGTTTTCAGGAACATGGTTGCCTTCAGAAATGTAGTTCAAAGCCAGCCATTTGCAAACTGGTGGGACAATGGCAGCAACCAAGTAGCTTTTGGAAGAGGAAACAAAGGCTTCATTGTCTTTAACAATGATGACTGGTAAGTAGACACCAATTTCAAATCATTTAATACTATTGTACTTTGGATTCTTATTTTCTTTTCCTGATGGTTTTTTTCATATCTGAAGAATCTTTTTCTTTGTGGATTTAAGAAAGCATGTGTATCCAAAATTGCAGAGGAAAAAAAGAATGACGCTTGTTCTTATGTTGTTTCTCCAGCTTTGTAAAGATTTTAAGTAGTGTTTTTGTGCAGTTTTTTGATGTCATGTGCATATATTATCATGTGTGTGCTTGTGTGACACACTGCACATAGCACATTCACAGTCAATAGAAGAGTCTTAAAATTACTAAAATGCGGAATCGTATTATTACTACACTACGTATAAAAAACATCTAGATCTGTATCTCAACTATTCCTTTTCCTGCCACACTGGTACGCAGGCTTCAATTCTCTTGGGCATACATTTTGGTTCTAAAATTTCTAATGACAAGTCTTTCACACACACACACACACACACACACACACACAATTTATATTAGTGATTCCCTCATATATAAGAACCCCTTTGGTTTTGAAAAGGTTTCTAGAGTCACTAAAAAAGGCATTGGTTTGGGATTTTCTCACTAAGACTTTGACTCTACAGCACAAAGTCAAGGCAATGGTTTGTTTGAGAGATAGGCAGTCTTCTTACACTTGACTGTGTTGAATTTGATTTAAACATTAACGTTTTGTTTTTAGGTCACTGTCATCAACTTTACAAACTGGTCTTCCTGCCGGCACCTACTGCGATGTCATTTCTGGAGATAAAATCAATGGCGATTGCACTGGAATTAAAATCTATGTTTCCAATGATGGCACGGCTTACTTTTCCATTAGTAACTCTGCTGAAGACCCCTTTATCGCCATCCATGTTGAATCAAAATTATAAAATTAAAAATAAACACATAGAGCATCAATCAAATGTGTTTCTTCTCTTTTATATAATTGTATTTTAACCTTCATTAACTTTTTGTAAAAGCTATAAGCAATGAAACGGAGAAAGTAAAAGAATCACATACAATTATACAACTATAACTACAGTCAGGATTTTATT